CCCTCCCATCTGTGGAAAGGATTGGCAGAGAAGTTCTTAAAGGGGGAACCGAAAGTCCTTGGTGTAAGTGGGTTGTGTATCTGGGAGAAGATCAATGGTATTGTGAACTCAGAACTTAACTAATACCAAACACCCACAATACATCAAACAGCTTTGTGATTGGTTTTCAAACCATGTCATCTGAAAAACACGATATAAAAACCTATAATATCGTGCTTCTGGGTTAGCTGTGTTTTAAATTTAAGGGCTTCGGATATATTCCAGGTTGCCGGTCATCTAGGATGATTATATTTAGTTCAGTGTGGGAGAGTATCAAGAGAAAAGCTCTGCATGCCTTAACTGAGGTCTCCTCCACAGATCTGCCTGGCAGCTGACAGACTCTTCCTTTGTCTCTCCAGTATCTTTCTGAACCTACTCCTCAGACCATAAAAAATCTTCTACACACAGGGCAGTTCCACCTAGAGTCTCGGAGGGGTATGCTTTAAAGAGATGGACAGTTTAAAGTGCAACGGATTAGGTGAGATGAAAAGAGTTTGAAGACAGAGGCTTATCTCTTCTGCAAACATTAAAGCCCTGAGGAAAAAGTCAACGAGAACACACGGAATGCTTGTATTTTCCACTTTTCTAATTGTTTTGAATTACATAGTCATTTTTCATGAAACATGTTATATGTTGACACTCCCCTGAGTTAATTTTCAAAATATTGACATACATATTTTGCAATTTTAGTTGAATATATGTGATTTTCATACAATATAGCTTGATGGCATTTAGATCTGCTCCCCTCTCTAACCTCCTTCCAACTGTCCCCAGCCCAATTTAATGAACTCTCATATATATATATGCATATATATGTATGTATTTTTAAATATAATTTTAGAACAGTTTTGAAAGTAAGGTACCAAGACATCCTGTATATCCACCATTTCCACATATGCCTAGCTTCTCTGTTGTCAGTCTCCCTCACCAATGTAGCACGTTACAACAAATGAACCTGCACTGATACCTCTTTATTACCAAAAGTTCTTCACTTATGTCAGGGTTCAGTCCTTGTATTATGCACTATATGGTCTTGACAAATATGTAATGGGAGATAGCCACTGTTGCAATATTATACAAAATATTTTATCTCAAAGCTCCTTCATGCCTTACCTGTTCATTACTTACAACCCTGTACAATCCCTGAATTTTTATTTTTCCATAGTTTATCTTTTCCAGAATGCCATAATGTTATAATTACGTAGCATGCTGCCTTTAGATGTGGAGCCTTGTCTTCTCAAGGAGCTATCCTTTTGTTGAGATTGTAAAAGTTATGGGCTTGGAGTTATTCACAGCACCCCTTTATTGTCTATTGTTGACCCATAGGCTATATGGTGATGGTTCTCCATCATTTCTGGTACCAAACATTGTGTCTTCTATTCTGTTCTCCCATTTGCCTGGCTAGAGGCTCACCATTACATTTTACATTTTAAAGACAAGTTTTTGTGTGTCGTTGATTTTTGTCTAGCCATTTCTTATTGTCATTTCATTGACTTCTGATCTAATTCTTTCCATTCAATTTCTTTGAATGTGATCTGCCTTTCCCCTTCTAGTTTTCTAAGTGGACATATAGGCCCATGATTTCAGGTCCATATGTGTTCAGTGTTGTAAATTCTACTCTAAGCATTTCTTTGCACTATCCCACCAATTTTGGTAAGTTTTAATTTTATTATTTTATTATTTTTATTTTGCTCCTTTTCAATGTCATGAGATAATTGTACTCCAATTTCCCTGTTTTTAGACCCTTAACTCACATGTGTGCTCTCATGCCTCAGGTGCTAAGAGATGGTATTTGATCCTGTTTTTCTCTTCCCCTTTATATAATTTCTTTCCTGAGGGTATTTCTCCTTGTGGGAATATTTGCTTCCTAAGTCCTTAATGACCCTCTCTGAGCTTCCAATAACAGACAGCAGCAGTTCTGGTAGAAGTAGCTATCAGAACAGCATCTCAGGGAAGATTTTTGGCATGATGTTTCTAATGCTGAAATAACAGCAACAATTACAGATACTCTAAAGGGTAATTTTCACAAGTTAGTATATCCAGAATTCTTGATGGGAAAAAAGTGGTAAGAGGGTGAAGATGACTTTGACTACATCAAAGATGGAGAGTGAGGACAACTTAGTGCTGGAGAGAGGGTGGCTCAGGCACCATCTTTGTTACATAATCCATCTTTTACTTTTCCCATCATTCTAGGTTCTGCAGATTCTAATTGCCCTAATGATCCTCAGCCTGGGAATAATAATAATGACTCTCATGGTGCAGTTCTATGAATCACACCCTGTTATGTTTGGACTGGCATACCCAGCCTGGGGGTCAGTATTGGTGAGTGGAATAATCTCTGATATAAATGGAGATGTTTTGATTCTATCCTGATTCTATCCTATATTTATATAAAATTAAGAAAGTTATCTAATATTCTTTTGACTCTTTCTTCTCATATTTAAAACGAGACATCTCTGTGTCTCTTCTCTCTCTTTATCTCTCACACACATAGAGAAAGAAAGAGAGAGAGAGAAGAAAACATTGAAGGAGGAGTAAAAAAGAATCTAAGAATTGGAGGATGGGGAGGAAGGCTGTGAAATACAGTGTATGGACATGGTGTGGCTGTACATACATGAACCCACGGAAAATGTGGTTATCTGCACAAGACCTGCACAAGATCAATTCAGTTAAATATCCACTATGGTGGGAGGAGGAGCTCCCATGGCCGCACCTCTAGCTGTCTCTGCCCCTGATTGCTGGGCTTAAAGGCATGTGCCACCATGCCCAGCCCAATTCAGTGTTTTTAAATAGTTTATAATCCTTATGGTAAAATTCTTGGTTTATTTCCAGAGGAAAGTAACTGTTATTTGCAGACTTATTTCTCATAATTCACATAGCTATCTAATTTATGACTTAATTACAGTAAATTTTGGTTTCAAATACTATAAATTTATGTGCATTTTCCTTTTATTCCAGTTTATTGTTTCAGGAGCTTTTTCAATGGCAGCAGGAATTAGAACTAATAAAGGACTGGTGAGTGATAGCTCTTTTTTTTTTTCTACTCAGAGAGAATGAGCTGATCCAAAACACATACTTCTGGGGTAGAAAATACTGTACATTTATTTGATTTTTATAGCAACTTTAAGTAACAATGTTTATATTTCAGATTCTTCTCATAACCTTTTCATGTGCACATGTACTAAACATAGTGAACTAAAGAACATTCTCCAGCGACTTCCATCTCATTGTCAGCAATGAGTGTGGTTATAAGATTACAGATTTACTCTTTTAGCAAATTTCAAGTATACATTACTACTAATTATAGTCATTACACTGCATAGCTCCAGAAGTTAATCATCCTGCATCAATGAAACCTTATGTCATTGACATGTATCTCCTGTCTTTCTTCCCCCCTTTTCCCAGATGACCAAGATTCTACTTTGCTTCTATGACTTCAACCTTTTTAGTTTCTACATATAAGTGGTGGCTTGTTTGATTTATGTAACAGACTCCAGGTTTGTTAATGTTTTAAATGAGATCTCTGTCTTTTTAAAAGACATTTGGATTCCTGTAGAGGATGGTAGGAGGAGTGTCAGTATTTCAGGGCACCTTAGGACACATGTCAAGTCCAAGTTACATGGAGACAATGCTGTCTCAAAAAAACAAATATATTCAGTAGCTATATGCTGTTTCATTTTTTGTCAATTTGACACATATAAGAGAAACCAGGGAAGAGGAAGCCTCGGTTGAGGAATGGCCTCCATCAGATTACCCTGCAGGGATATCTGGAGGGCATTTTCCTCATTGCTAATTGATATAGGCAGGCCCAGTCCATTGTGCTAGTAACATCCCTATGCAGGTGGGCAGAGCCTGTCTAAAAAAGGCAACAGAGCAAGCCACGGAAGGAAGGAAGTAAGCCATGTTCCTCTATGGTCTCTGATTTCAGTTTCTGCCCCAGATTACTGTTTTAGAACATTCAGTGGCTTTGCTCCATGATGTTTCCTAGGAATATAAAATAAAGTAGTTTGTCCCTCACCCCAGCCCCAAAGGACATTTATATTCTTACATATTGAGGCCTGTGTATATCATGTGTATAGAGGGAGATATATAAATATTACAGTTTCTCTATCCTTCATCCATCAATCGACATCCGGGCTCTTTCTATACTTTATCCATTACAAAGAATACTGTGATGAACACTTGGGTAGAGGTGAGCCTATGAGGTGTTGTTTTCACTTACTTTGATCATGTTCCCAGAGAGGGAATTGCTGAGACATGTGACAGTCCACTTTTAATTTGAAGGGACCATCCATAGTGCTTTCCATGACTAATCCAATGCATCCTACCAACTATTTACAAGGGTTTCTTTCTCTACATGCTCTGCACCACATACAATCTTTAGTCATTTTGATAACTGCCATCCCTTAACAAAATATGGTTAATCCCAGCACTCAGGAGGCAGAGCCAGGTGGATCTCTGTGAGTTCAAGGCCAGGATGGTCTGCGTAGTGAGTCCAGGCCAGCTGGGATTATAGGGGTCCCTGTCTCAAAAAAAAAAATAGCAAAGCAAAGTAAAAACTAAACACTAATAAAAAAGATTATAGCCATCCCAAGAGGAGGAGTTGATATATAGTCATGTTTTTCTTTGCATACAACCAATGATTAGTGATACTGAGCAACTCTGCAGGTACCTGTAGGCCATTTGTACAACTTCTTTAGACAAATGTCTCTGTAGATCCTTTATCTATTGTTTTTACAGTTGATATAGAATACCCCTTTCAGAGACAATTGAAACATCATAGAAGATGGAATGTGTCAGGAATGAAGTAAACAGTTTGCAGTGATTGATGGAAATATTTCTGAGGATGCGTTTAGTTGTTTGATCTTCCTTCTTTCCCAGGTGCGAAGCAGCATGGGATTGAACATTGCCAGCTCTGTACTGGCTTCATTAGGGATCCTATTCAGTGTAAACAGTTTGAATATTTTGTCATTTGAATACCCTGTCTGCAGACATTCCCATATTCCAGACACTTGCATCCTGACTATGTCCATTTTAGTGGTGAGTACTTCTACTCTTCATAGACTCTGTGGTGCAAACAAATCTGGCATCCTAACTATGTCCATTATAGTGGTGAGTACTTCTACTCTTCATAGACTCTGTGGTGCAAACAAATCTGGGGAACAGTGCCTCTGAGAAAAGCATCAATCCACATTCCCTAATTTCCAAGTCCCTCAAAGAAGCTGGAAATGACTGAGGAATAGACAAAACTGTTAGGAACCAGGTTCACATTTATCACTGTTGATACTTTATGAGTGATGAGGCCTAATGGGAAGAAATCTTGGGGTTATAGACCACCAGTTCCTTAGTAGTACTTGAAATTTTACACATTTTTGCTCTTTTATTTAAAACACTCACTAGTGGGTACTATTAGCACCTCTGAGAATAGAGGTATGATTTCAGTTCCTGTACATCTGCAGAGCTTCCAAAGAAGTATAGCAGAGCTGTGTGCTTCTCCAGAAACAAACAAAATCATTATGAATATTGTCCGACAAGTGGTGAGAAGTGCTGGGTCCTTAGTATCTTCAGGCATCCCTGCCATGTGAACGACTTTTAACTTAACATCCAGTTCCTGGAACATGCTCATCCTCCATATGGCCATGCAATGTTTTACATTTCTGTACCACTTCCTCCCGTAGATCTTACCATAATTGCTTTATTCCCATGTGTAAATAGTAAAACTCCTTGGTGTATTTACACTGGGTGAAGTCAGGGAGAAGAACTGCTGTGAGACTAAACAGTCATGGCAGCCTAAAACACAATGGTCTTAATCAATAAAACATCTAGAAGCCTTGTAAATTGTCTAGCTGGTTCTGCATTCCTCTCAAGCCATCACCTCAAAGTGATGACTAATTCCTATTGACTGTGTGAACGATCTTCTCTCTGTCCCGATACCAAAGCACTCTGCATAAAATCCTCTTGAGACACTAAGCATCACATTAATTCTTTTCGTTGTATCTGCATGCCAGTCCACAGGTCTGTGAGTTGGTAGTTATCCACAGACCTAGGAATGCTCCCCCTCCCTGGAGACACAGGGAAAAATAACTCTTTATCTTCAGGGAGTTCAAGTATCCCTAATAGGAAAAAATATAAATATCCAAAAATGGTTGGAATTTAAAAAGCTTAAAGTCCTACTTTTGATATATTTTGTATATAAAGGTTATTAAAGGTTATTTCCTCTTAGTAGGAAATAATACTTAAGAGAACATCATTGATCTTGTTGAAAATGTTGAAATCACATTCAGTACCTGTTTCTGTAGGCAAAATTGAGTGAAACCATCGCCACATCCATTTATTTATGTATTGTGTTCCAGAGTATCTGTGGTAGGGTTGCTTAGGCTGCAAAGGCTCAAGGAAAACCTGTCAAACTCTGTTCTAACGTTTAAAATAAGATCGTTGGGGACAGGAAATCATTCTATTTACCACTGTACATCTGTGCCAACAACAATGCCTGGTATGCAGAAGATACTGACTGTGTTGGAGGCTTGAGAAGACAGAATGAATGCAAATCTCAAGGCCCACTGTATCCCTTCTGTACTGAGATCATGATATTGGCTCTTGCACAGTAGAGGGATCTTCTCTGCCCATGGAGATAAAGAGACAGAATATTTAAAACACAGAATCTCAAACATCAATCCAGGGTGAGAAACAAGAATAAATATGTTAACCAATGTTCCTCAACTATGATCCTGTATTCTGGTTGATGTTAGATATACAGGCCCTTTTCTTTGAACTTCAGTTAAAGACCAAGTAACCTTTCTTTTCCTATAACACATTGCTCTTACTTGAGTACACAATTCAAAATTATTTTCTTTTACTTCTAGAGCCCAGAAGCTCAAAGTAAGTCCCTGTAGGTTAAAACCAAAGGACCTTCAGGGCAAAATACCTTTGTGAAAGTGGTAACTGTGATCAGCTTCCTTGCTTGCTCCGGTCTCTACATGCCCTTATATTGTTTGACTTGTTTTCTCATCTTCTAGCATAAAACAGTGGGACATTTTCAAATTTCTCTCATATTTTAACCCTTCTGCCTACTGCTTCCACATATTAGAATGCTATGATTCTTTTCGGTTCAGCAAACAACAAAGTATAATCCTTCCATCTAAGCTAATTAGCAAATGGTCTTCCATGCGCAAACAATTCATTTGTCACATAATCTGATATATCCACAAATTGTAGGGTTGATGGCATGAACCATTTTGATGGACCAGTATGCGATCTACCCATAACCATTAAGGAATGAGAACATGGTATTGTGTCCACAGTATGGAATTTCTAGTGTTTGAAATAACTTAGATAACAATTCTCTTTGCAATTTCCCCCACCACCACAATTTTTAAAACATGTTTATCTTTTGTGTTCACAATAGCCTAAGAATGTTCTAGATAAAAGCAAAAACCCACATTATTATTTTATCTATAAAAGAGTGATATATTAGTTTTGAATATCAATAGGAAAAAATTATCCACTGCTATAACCACAATTAGGAACCTGGGACTCTTTTGGCATTGTAGTTCATGGTAAATGTGGAGACTGTTATCTCCGGTACTCATGTTCCTTTGTTATAAATGTACTTTTAGGGTATGAATGCTTTGGTGATCATTTTAAGTTTGTTTGAGTTCTGCATTGCTGTGTCCCTTTCTGCCTTTGGATGCAAAGTGACCTGTTGTCATCGCAGTGGAGTGAGTATTAACTTTTATTTGAGGAAGTTCCTAGTAGTTTTCTTTTGCTCTGCAGTTGATTGCAGAAACTTAGAAGCTCAGAGTAACACATCTTTATTGCTCTGCTTCCTTGGGTCAAGAGTGCAGACACAGCTTAGCTGAGCCTTCTCATCAGGGACTTACAGGCTTTCATTCATGGAGGTGGCTGGGCTGTGCTCTCATCCGCAGTTTCTAATGTTCTTCCATGCTCAGGTGGAAGGATTAATTTCCTCCCTATGCAGGAACTCATAACAATGTGTGTCTTCTTTGTGGGCCAAAGGAAAAATGATCTCAAGTCCTTCCAGGCTATTTTGCAAGACTCACATTCATGTGCTTAAGATAGTTCATGTAAGGTACTATCACTGTTGATACTGTCACAGTCCACTCAAAGGACGGATATCCACCTTGTCCACAAGTTCTATCTACCCTCATAAGTAGAGTCATTTTGGATTTTTAGCTCCACATGGCTGAAGAAAACTTTTATCCCAGGCCTTACCCTCCCATTCTGGATCATGGAACATTTCTCCAGGAATCCTCAGAGATCACCAGATGTTACTCTTTTATCCTATCACGTTAACCTTCCCTGGGCTACTGAACAAATGAATGTCAGGCATCAAATTCATCTGCCAGTTGGTGCACGCCTGACTAACGTCTAACCTTGAGACCTACAGCACATCCTCCCAGGTCCTACACAGAAAGTACATCATAACCAGAGATGGATAAGTGGGAAGTGGAAAAAGAGAACAGCCAAGGAAAAGGCCCTAGGAAGAATATACCAGTCTACCGTCCAAGCACTGAGGGTTCTACAATGAGAAGGTGGCTAGCAGAACTCAGGAGTTGAGCATTAATTAGATTCCTTACCCACAGGTTCTAACATGTCATGCCCAGGAACATACTTCTCATACTCAATAATAAAATTATAACAGTCTAGATCATTGGGTGGTATTTACATCCTTTGTACCTTTTTGTCTTCTTCGGGGGCTCCAAAGTAACACCATATCATACAATTCTGTGGCTTGTACCCACAAGTAAGTGATAAATTATAACAGCATGAATATTACTGATGGGTTTTGCATTAGAAGACCCTAAAAGTGTGGATTTATCTGGTTATCAATTATTTTGCATTTTCTTTGAGTAAAGTAGGGGTGGAACATATTCTTTAGTAAGCTTCATATCTTAATATTTAAATCTGTGATCCTTCTACTCTGAGATGACAAATGTGAATCACACACACACACACACACACACACACACACAACAGTGGCTTCAGGGCATATGATCACCACGCTTCTAAGTCTTCCCAGCTCTCATAATTCCTTTGTCAACTCCATGCCACCCTGAGTTTGTGGAAGAAGAACCAGGATTTACTTTAATTTCATGATCAGTCTACCCTTCTGTACCAGTGTAGTTTTGTCCCTGCTTTCTACACAGACAAGAAAGCCATGATTTTGATATGCTATTATTATCTCTATTCTTTCATTTGAAAAAGAGCTCCATATTCCCTATGGTAGAAGTCCAGTGTGATGTCCACTGACTACAGAGCCTTCCCTTCAGTTCACCCAACTCATTGGCAGCACCATCCATATGCAAAGTTGCTGCACTCTGAAATTCAGCAGCAGGCATTGGCTTCTCAGGTCAAGCTCAGCCATGGACTGTATATCCCAGACCTATCCTGATTTAAGAAATGCCTGAGAAAGAATCCCACTATATGAATGTAATTCAGTCCAACTGAAAGAGCATATGCTGGTATTTATAGGCAGGTGAAGGTATGTTGATGACAGTGGTTTTCTGGTTGATTTCACAGGTTATGGTAATTATACCATCAAATCCTTCCATGGCAGAAGCAGCATCTCCTCCATCATTTCAAGGAGGTTTGATCCCACCAGTGACCCAAGAAAAAAATGTTCCAGAAAACCTACACTGACTACATACAGTGCCAGGCCCCACTTGGAAAATCACCAGGTTGTCCATACAACATCTGTGTGCATAAATGCAAGATCTGTTTTTTTTTTCCCCAGGAACTTTACAACTCATTTCATTGGTTGTTTATAAGGATATCAGATGCTGAACAAATAAATCATACATTTAATAGCCAACAACATGAGTATTTTTTAATCCATGTTTTGATCTTTGCATACGGGCAGTAATATAGCACAGAGTGTGGAGAGGGTTCAGGCAACTAGAACATGTCCCATGAGAGAAGAAAAAGAGGCTTTAAGGAGAGGGGAGGGGAGAATAATAAAACACTTGAGATACAAAAGTACAAGGAGGGAACACTGGGTGTGGAAGATCCAAATGTGGATGGGGGACAAACAGATGAAGGAGAGGAGCAGAGGGAGCAGGAAGATCAAATAAGAGTATATGTATGAAAATACCATAAGGAAGCCTGTTACTGTCTACGGTGATAAAAAATAAAGAATAGGCACAACCCACCAGCCTCTCTCCCTGGAGCCCTCTGGGCCTGATCTCTCCTTCACCTCCCTCTGCTTCTCCAGGCTGCACAATGCAACAGCCTCTTTCCCTGGGGTTGACCTCTCAGCCAGGGGCCACCACTGCTTCCTGACCCCTTGCATCCAGACAGACCCAGTTCCTTCTCGAGGTCCCCAGGAGCCCTCTGGGCCTGGTCCTTCCCTCATCCCCCTCAGCTTCCCTGGGCCTGCACAACATCCCCCCTCCTGGGTAAGTCGATCATGCCCTCTGCTCCTTGACTCCCCCAGCCTCATCCACCCTCCCATCTCCACTGCCAGTCTCTCCTCCTAGCCTGGGTGCTGTCCCATTCCTTGTCTTGGTGCCACAGACACAAGGGGAACCACCATTGCTTCCTGATCCTTTGCATCCAGACGGACCCAGTTCCTTCTCTAGGTTCCCAGGAACCCTCTGGGCCTGGTCCCACCCTCACCTCCCTCTTCTTCCCTGGGCTGCACAACCTGCCAGGCTCTTTTCCTAGACACTGGGGCTGACCTTTTGGTTTCCTGATCCTTTGCATCCAGACCAACCCGGTTCTTCAGTGCAGTCCCCAGGAGCCCTTAGGGTCTCTTCCTGCCTCCATCTCCCTTTGCATTTCTGGATGGCATGGCTACTAGCTGCCCAAGAGCAGAATATTTCCTGGACTCCACTCCCAGGCCACTCCAACCCCCAAATTACTAAGGCCAAAATCTTTCCTGGAGGGATCCAGACCTTAGGAGAAAGCCTGAGACTATCTGATCCTCATCTGACTTTGACCTCTGTGGGAACACCTGAAGACAAAGGCAATCTGGCCACTCCAATATAAAATCAAAAGAGAGAACCGAAGTTTAGATGAACCAACTTTTCATGCCCAAAACGTAAAACACAAAGGCATGTAAAGTTTACAAAAAAGGGAGACTGAAATTTGAAAGCATGAGTCTCACACAAGAATCAGAAGCTGCAAAAAAAATTCACATGTCAAAATCACAGAGAAAAAATAATAACATGAAAAACCAAAATAATATATCCCCACCAAATACCAATAGTCCTCTAGAGGAGTACAATGAGAACCCCATAGAGATAATGCAGGACATGGAACTCAAAAGAAAAATTATAAAGATGGTAAAAGAATTCAGTGAATTCAAAGAACGCACAAACAAAGAACTGAAGGAAGATAGGGATAAACTTCTGAATGAATTCAGAAAAGAGCTAGAAATATTGAAGACTACTCAGGCTGAAATGAAGAAGGAAGTGAAACACTCAGTAAGCTAATTAGAAAGGACAGGAGAAAGCATCACGATTAGGATGAATGAAATGGAAAACAAAATATCAAGATTATGAATAATTTAAGAAAGTACAAGAATGGAATATGCAGGAATTGTGTGATATCATAAAAAAACCAAACTTATGCATCATAGGCATACAGGAAGGAGAAGAATCCCAAGATAATGGCATGGACCAGATCTTTAACAGAATTGTAGAAGAAAATTACCCAAATTAAAGAAAGTCACGCCCATACAAATACAAGAAGCATATAGAACACCAAACAGACAGAACCATAAAGAAACTCTCCACAACACATCATAGTAAAAACACTAAACATACAGAACAAAGAGACAATACTGAAAGCTGCAAAAGAGAAACAACAAGCCACATATAAAGGAAAACCCATTAGGATTACAGCTGACTTTTAAGTGTAAACTATGAAAGCCAGAAGAGCCTAGACCAAAGTATTCCTAGTTCTAAAGGACCACAGATGCCAACCTGTTGGGAGCTATTATTATTATGGGCACAGCCATTGCTACATTAGGCTGTGGCAGCTTGCCTTGACTTAAGCATTGGAGAAAGAATGCTTCCACCTTGGGAGTTTCCCTGCTCTCAGGCTATGCTTCCCTGATTAATTGGCAGTCTTGGAAACATAACCAAAGAGTTCTGTTTCAGTTTATGGGCATTGGAGTTTCTCAGCACCCTTAGCTTGGTTTCTGTGTAGAAATAATGAATTATAGTAGTTGCTAAGAGTAATCACAAACAGTACACCTTATATCTAAGATAGTATAAATATTATGTAGCTGAATCTTGGATACTGTCAATGTAGGGGGAGTTTCGGTTGGTGAAGTAACGTAATTCTTGGTGGTAAAGTAATGTATCCTTTTTTATTCCCTGGTTCTTTCTGTTTAGTGATGTATCCTTAGTTATTCCTTGGTTACTCCAGATCTGATTCCTATATAAGCATGCTTTAATTCACAATAAACATACACTGGCACATAGACTTCTGCATCTCCTGTGTCTTGATTTTTATCCGTCGGGGTCCCCAAGCCCTTCAGGCTTGGTTTGTGGTCACTGCACCGTGACACCAACCCAGATTACTATACCCAGTCAAAATGTCTATTATAGTCAAAGGGGAAAGAAAAATCTTCCATGACACAAATAGGCTGAAGGAATTTATGTCCATAAAACCAGCCCTTCAGAGAGTTCTGGAAGCAATACAAAGTGCTGAAAAAAGGAATGAATATACCCAAGGGGTTGTGGAAAGAAATTCAATGTAGGTACAACTGTGGAAAAGTACAGCTATATCAAGAATGTAAACAGAAATAAAAATGACAGGCTTCAATACACATCTTTCATTAATAACTTTAAATATTAACGGACTGAACTCCCCAGTCAAAAGACACAGACTAGGTGAATGGATTAAGAAACAAAACCCATCTTTTTGTTGTCTGCAAGAAACTCATCTCACTTTCAAGGACAAGCACTATCTTAAGGTGAAAGGATGGAAAAAATATATGAAGCCAAAGGCACTAAGAAAAAAGTTAGCATTGCAATTCTAATATCTGACAAAACAAACTTTAAACTAAAACTAATCACAAGAGATAAAGAGAGCCACTTAGTTCTGATCAAAGAAACAAGAAGATGTTACAATCAGGAACATATATTCCCAAACTCTGGTGTGACCAACTTAATAAAAACAATATAACAGGAATTTAAGACCCAGATTAATCCCAACCCAGTAATATTAGGGGACTTCAATACTCCACTGTCCCCATTAGATAGGTCATCAAGGCAGAGAGTTAACAAAGAGACATCTAAATTAAACAATATCATATATCAAATGGACTTAACAGACATCTACTGAGTATTCCACCCAAGCACCAAAGGACATACTTTCTATTCAGCACCCCATGGAACCTTCTCCAAAATTGACCATATACTGGGCCACAAAACAAACCTCAAAAAAATACAAAAAAATTGAAATAATTCCATGCATTTTATCAGAGCACAATGCAATAAAGCTTACAATCAACACTGGAAGAAGCCCTAGTCACCACATGAACACATGGAGATTAAACAACTGAGGCTGAACTAACATTCTTGGGTGTTTAACAGACATACTTTGAGGTCTATAATAAT